GGCAACTTGGTATATTTAATTCATCGGTGGCTATACTAAATTGTATGTAATGTCATTTATTAATCAATATAATATTTCCTTATTTTTGTTAAGAATGGCAACTTGGTATACTTAATTCTTGAGTGGCTATACTAAATTGTTTGTGACATGGGATTATGGGAAGATAATATTATCAAAGACTTCGTTTGACCAAGTAATTTTATTAATATTGACATTTCTATCTTCCATATAAAATTAAATAACCATGTATTAAGTAATATTTTAATAGAATGTAATAGTTTAGTTGATCCATGGATTAAAACGGTAAATTTTTTGAAGTGTTATAGGTATATATTGTAATGGTAAAAAGTTTAGGACTAAAATAGCTAGTAAAGAGCAATTAAGAGACTGAAAATAATGTATTTTTTCCTATATTTAATTAATGGACGGCTATACTACATTACTTGCATGTCTTTTTTATCCTCTGCATGCTAACTATACAAATCAAAAAAGAATACTAGCCTTAATGGGCTTAGCTTAATGGATCAAGGATCACTCTGGAAGTCTTGTTCCAACAATTACAGGGCGTTTGGTTGGACGAGGGGAATTATGTGGGAAAGGAATTGTAATTCCATGGGAGTTGAATTACTGGGAATAAAGTGGGAATTTAAATTCCTGTGTTTGGTTGACAGAAATAGAATTACTGGGAATTTCAATTCCAATGTTTGGTATATATGGGAATTAAAAGGGAATATGTAGTATAAAGTCAAAAATGTTCATTATTGTTGTTAGACATTAATTTTAGGTTAAAAAAGGAAGAGGTAATTTTGACTCATCACTATCTTTTTTTCCTAGGAATTAAAATCCCATGGGGGGACATGGGATTATAATTCCATGAAAATGGGGGAATTGCAATTCCATGAAATTGCAATTCCCTCCAACCAAACTACGGAATTTAATGGTCTTTGGAATTAGGTGGGAATTAAGTGGGAAGGGAATTTAAAATCCTTCCAACCAAACGCCCTGTAAAGGGGGGGCTGGGAGACTCAAAGTCTAAAAAATTGATTAGGGTGATGAAGACTCATTGTTAGGGAAACCTAATGTATAAAAAAAAAATGCTACATTAATGTAGGATAATTACTTCTCTTTTTTTTTTTCAATAAAAAAAATGAGAAAATTGTATTTATGCACCTCACTTGTATGTCAATTATAAATGTCACTCCTTAATTCTGAGTGGTATAAATGTTGCTTTGAATTGTTTGAACGTGTATGTATAAGTTACTCATTCTATTTATTAATGTTGTCTGAATTGTTTGAACTTAAGGGAAAACATTTACAACAGGGATGAACAGTATATACAGATATTCAAACAATTCTGGGATAACATTTATACCACATAGAATTAAAATGTATATATAATTGGCTTATAAGCACTGTTGCAAAAATCGGTCTAGGCACCCCTAGACCGTGGCGATTTCCCCCCTAAGCGCCCGCCTAGGCGACCGGCCGCCTAGCGCCTACTCGACCGACTTGGCCAAGTAATTCCAATGCATATACTTCTTTTGATTAATGCTTATGCCTTTGTGATTTATGGGCTAAAGGTATCTAAGTAATCCAATCCAGGAGTTTGATTGTACCCCTTAGCTACCAGCCTTACCTTGTATCTTTCAATAGTTCCATCCGCTTTGTGTTCAATCTTGTACACCCATTTACACCCAATTGGTTGTTCAGAGGGTGGCAAGTCAGTAAGAACCCATGTATTATTGGCCTGCAATGCCTCAGTTTCTGCTTTCATAGCTTGCCTCCAACACTCAAATTGTATGGCCTCAAAATGTCTCATTATATGGAACGTTATGTTGTGAGCACGTGTCCACCTTGCAAGGTGGGCACGGTTTCATATCCATAATTTCTATACTGTAGATTCATACTTTCTATACTGTAGATCCATAATTTCTAACTGTAGATTCATAAACTTTATACTTTAGATTCATAATTTCTAAATCGTAGATTCATAATTTAAATACAGTAGATTCATAATTTCTATACAGTAGATTCATAATTTCTATACTGCAGATTCATAATATCTGTACTGTAGATTCATAATTTCTGTACAGTAAATTCATAATTTATAAACTGTATAGTTATCAAATTATGAACATATAGTTCTATGATTTGTGAAAACAGAGTTCAACAATTGGAATCTAAAGTATAAATTTTATTAATCTACAATATATAAATTATGGATTTACAGTATAGAAATTATGAATTTACCGTATAAAAATTATGGATATGAAAACGTGCGCACCTTGCAAGGTGCTCACAACATAATTTGCCCTCATTATATACAAGACTTTGGCTTCTTAGAACAAGTAAAGTTCATAGCAAAAATGTGATAACTAGGCGCTAGCTAGATTATTATAAGACATAATTATATTGCTGTCAATGTGAGGAGAAGTCCTATTACTTAGCTGAACATACTGACACTCATAATCAGCAAGATATGCAGGTCTTCTAATTTACCTGAATGTTTTTGGGGTGACTTGCATTTTGAAGAATTATACATTGGAATGAATTTTATGGAATTGTATTTTTGGTTGTGTTCAATCCAGCTCCATTACTCCTGCCACTTGATCGTGTTCAATCCAGCTCCATTACTCCTGCCACTTGATCGTGTTCAATCCAAGTACTTTTGTCATGATGAATTAGTGAGTTGGTGTTGGTTATTTTCCAAAAATATTATTTAGATTAAATTTTTGTATAATTTATTTCATTTAAATACTGTGTAGGAAGATCTAATTTGATAGGCTCATAGAGAAATTGTTAAGAAGAATTGAATTCGTAATGTTCTAGTACAAAAATCATTCTTCACCAACTTGATCACCTTTTTGGAGCTATTATTATTATTATTATTATTATTATTATTATTATGAGTAGGTGGATATTATTTTTGAGAAATATTAATTAGATGAAATATTTGTGCCGTAGGGTTGCATGTAGCGTTATAGCTCGGAAAATTCAGAAAAACCATCTCATCATCTTCTATATTGTTTTTGCTTACACAACCATAGAGATTGTTGTGTTAATTTGAGAGGTAGCACTTATAAACCAATTTCATCAAGTTAATGCTAATTAAATTAAAAATTAAAAATAAATATTATTTTAAAACTAACTAAAAAAATTCAAATATGTTATTTTTACTAATAATTTTTGAATTACCAAAAAGCTCCCTCTTTTGCACGCTTAACCCTCAATAATGTCCGTTTCTATATCTTTATTGGTGGGTGAAACTGGAGGATTATAAACAATACGATATACTACAAATTATTGTACGGCACTTTCTCTTTCTTGTCCGCTCCCTTAATATAATTTCCCCCAACCAACTTTTTCGGTGCGTCCAAAGTCATTTCTTGGTTTAGAGCGTAGCACTTATAAGCAAAGTTAATGACACTAATCGCATTCACTGAGACTCGAACCTATCACTTCTCACTTAGGAGAGCAACCGGATACTATTAGACCACAAGATTCTTGTTAAATTACTCTTTATTAATTAGTAGATTAAAGTGTTGGATTATTATCATATCATCCTTTATATAATAAAGCTATATGGTTTGGGAAATAATTAATGTTACAATTAATGCCACAACATCCTTTATTATTAAAAAAAAACACAACATTTAAAAAATAAAATAGCTATATATTATATAATCATATAAAAAATATACTTTTGAAAAATAAAATAGCTATATATTATATAATCATATAAAAAATGTGTTCAATTAGAGTTTAAATTTACACATACAAAATTTGAAATTTGCTTTCCAAATGTAATTATCTTAGTTATTATTTGTATTGTGAAAATTATAATATAGATGAAATACAATTAAGAATAAATCAATGTAATTATGTAAATTATCTCTATAAGTTTATTTAAATATGCACATAATTAGAGATTATATTAACCATACAAAATTTTAATTTTAATTGTAATTTTGTATTCTATAAAAATAATAAATACTTGACTAATGGAAGCTCAAAAATATTATTATATTAAATAATTAAAATATTTTAGTTTTTCTATTTTTTATTTATATTTATAATAACATAAATTTTTTTCGTGCATCGCGCGGGTGAATTACTAGTATATACGGAGTATATATATAGGCCCTATTTGATAAAAAAAATTGACCTATAGGCCAATTTTGGCTTATTTGACCACTATTAATTGTTTGATTTAGTTAAAATATCAATATAAGTCTTTGATTAATTAGCTTTTTGCAACTCCAAAATCTAAAATTCAAAAAGCTACTTCAAGCAACTTTTTCAATTAGCTTTTTCAAAAAAGAAATTATACCAAACAGCTATTAGCTAACAGCTAATTTACCAAACACTTTTCTACAACAGCCAATATTGGCCCTGTTTGGTAAAATGGCTGTTAGCTGATAGCTGTTTGCTATTAGCTGATTGTGTTAATTAGAGAGTATAAATAGTTGATAACATTAGCTGATTGTAAAAAAGTGTTTGGTAAATTAGCTGTTAGCTGATAGCTGTTTGGTATAATTTCTTTTCTCAAAAAGCTAATTGAAAAAGTTGCTAGGAGTAGCTTTTTTAATTTTAGCCTTTTGGAGTTGCAAAAAACTAATTAACCAAACATTTATATTGATATTTTAACTAAATCAAACAATTAATAGTGGTCAAATAAGCTAAAATTGGCCTATAGACCAATTTTTTACCAAACAGGGCCATTATCAACTAGTTATATCCTCTAATTAACACAATCAGCTAACAGCTAACAACCATTTACCAAGCAGGGCCATCGTAAAACACCTTCATGAGAGGTAGCTAGTTATTTACATATAGTCCAGAGAAGAGGATCGCTAAAAATTGGATGCCAAGGGTGAGTGGTATTTCTAACTTCCTGTGTCGGGTCCCCCTTATATATAAAAGGAAATTTCCAAGTAAATGATAAGAATTTCTTTCATCTTTCCATTAATTTTGTTATTTCTCTCTGGACTTCAAAAAGCTCAGTCAACCACCCAATCTCTGCCATATTTCCATTTCCTTTCGTTCTCACCTACTTTACCCATCTCGATCTCTATAAACTCAAGTCTTCCGTTTCACAGCTATCCATCTTCGATCACTCTAATTTTTCTAGCATTCCTTCTTTTACTCACTTTTCTGATCTGTCGTCTATCTATGGCAACACCTTCACTCGCTCCTGAATCCTTTCCTTGGGAATACGATGTGTTCTTGAGCTTCAGAGGTGAAGACACACGCAAAACTTTCACTGATCATCTTTATTTTGCGCTGCATCAAGCCGGAATCCGCACATTTAGAGACGAGGAGGAGCTCAGAAAGGGTGAATATCTTGCTCCTGAGCTTATGAGAGCAATCCAAACTTCAAGAATCGCTGTGATAGTCTTATCGAAAGATTACGCCTCCTCTAGGTGGTGTCTTGATGAATTGGTGGAAATTGTGGAGCTCAAGGAGAAGGAAAAACTTAAAGTTTTTCCTATTTTTTACGATGTTGATCCTTCCGAAGTGCGTAAACAAAGTGGGAGCTATGGCATGGCCTTGGCAAAGCACAAAGAGCGCTTTCACGGGAGTGATAAAGTACAGAAATGGAGAGATGCACTCATTAAAGTCGCCGATATGTCAGGATGGGATTTGCAAGGAGTCGCCAATGGGTATGGTCTTGCCCCATTTCTCATTATTAATTTGAATGGAGTAATTCTTATTTTATTTGTGATGAGTTATGCCCCATTGGATAAAACTTTTGATTATATATATGTCCTTCATTCAAACTTACATTGCATTGGACATATATATATATATATATATATATATATATATATATATATATATATATATATATATATGACGTTGCAAATAATTGAATATCTCATAAAAGAGCATAAATTCAAAGTTGCATATTAATAATATACTTCACACGCACGCATGCACACACATATATATGATTATTGAATTACAGAGACACTTAGAGATGGATTATATATTCATTTGCAAGTTTCATCATAATGCTTTCATTTTCTATATGAATACTGAAGATACGAATCCAAGTTCATCAATTCAATAATCAAGGAGGTCCAACGTATAGTAAGCCGTGTACCAATGTTTGTTGCCAAGCATGGAGTTGGACTTGATTCTCGTGTTGAGTGTGTCGTTCAGTTATTGCATGGAGAATCAAATGATGGTGTTCACATGGTTGGGATCTATGGTATGGGAGGTATTGGGAAAACAACTCTGGCCAAAGCTGTCTATAATAGACTTTTTGTATACTTTGAAAGCAGTTGCTTTCTTGAGATAGATTCAGCAATTTCAAGACAAGAAGATAATGGGATAAATCTTAAGGAAGTTGATACTCAGATCACAAAAATACAAAAACAGCTTTTTAAGAATCTTTTTAATGAGGAGATTGACATTGACAGTATAGATAAAGGAATCATGTTGATGAAAAGGCGACTTCAAGCAAAAAAATGTCTCATAGTCATTGATAATTTGGAGCATAGAAATCAATTCAACAAATTATGTGGAGGACGAGATTGGTTTGGTGGAGGAAGTAGACTTATTTTAACCACAAGAGACGCACATGTTTTTAAAGAGTTGAATGTGGATGAACTTTATGAAGTTAAAGTATTGAACCATGAGGAGTCTTTGCAGCTGTTTAGCCTACATGCATTTGGAGAGCCTAGGTTGATAAGAGAAGATTATAATGAGCTTCTAGATGGCATAGTTGCTTATTGTGATGGACTTCCATTAGCTCTTGAAGTTTTAGGGGCTTATCTGTGTCATAAATCAAAAAAGGAGTGGATTAGTGCTTTAGAAAAAATGAAAGGAATTCCTCATTATGACATTCAAGCTAAACTTAAGATTAGTTATGATGGGCTTCCAGATGATCATATAAAATCTCTTTTTCTTGATCTTGTTTGTTTCTCTGGTGGAGTTTCTAAGGAGAAAATTGATAACATGGGGTATTTCTCAGACATTGAAGTTCAAGACTTGGTTGACAAATGCTTGATCAATTGTGAGCGGTCTTTGATTAGTATGCATAGCTTAATTCGAGAGATGGGGAGAGAAATTATTCGTTCAGAGTCACCCAACAATCCTAGTGAGCGTAGTCGATTGTGGTGTCCTAATGATATCCATGATGTGCTTATAGGGGAAAAGGTAATGATTTTTAAATTTATCTCATTCTCAAATATTATGCATAAATCTTATATCAACTAATGTTACTATTTCACATCAAAAGGTAATGATTTTTAGTATAGTACAACTCTAAAAGCACAGTATACAAAATGATTAGCATTAAAAACATGAACATATATGACAACAGAAATTTCACGTTTATTGACAAAAAAAGTTGTCACAAATATTATAAAAAAGAGTGACCAATAACTATTTATCACAAAAAGTACCAAAATTTGTGTCCATAACATATTTTGTCACAATTACACTCGTTCCTGTCATAATTATAATGCCGCCTATATGCACATACTTTTAGTGACAACTTAGGTTACGACACTATAATTCTAGTAATAGTGACAACTTATTTGTAACAAATACTTAGTTGACACAATTAACATACTAGTCGTGACACCAAAAAAAGTTATCACAATTATCACAAACAATAGTGACAAACTATTTTTTGGTCACAAAAAAGGTATTATATATTTGTGACTAAATTATGGAGTGTCACGAAGATTTGTCACTAAATGTCTTAATTCTTGTAGTGATAAATGGGGGATATAACTTTGATTGAGACTTATTATGTTTTTAGATAATAACTATTTATTTACCACAGATTATCTTCCTGATAATTTCTTATGGAATTAACATGACACGAACTAATGATTTTCTATTATTTACCGAGCCTCAATGCATAAATATGTTAGATTTTCTAAATTTTGTGTGCTGCGAATTTTTCTCATCATTAATAGTCCAAATTCTACTAAAGGTCATCTAAGTTTGAGGCACTACCAACTTTGGCCCTCAACTTACAAGCGTACTAAGTAGCTTTAGAGAAATTGGGGAACTTATTATGGTAGGCTTGTAAGTTGAAGACCAAAGCTGGTAGCATCTCAAAGTCAGAGGACTATTATTGCCTTATTGGTAGTTTTAGAGAACTAGAGGACTTATTATTGTAGACTTGTAAGTTGAGGATCAAAGCTAGTAATACCTCAAACTCGAAATACACTTAGTGAAATTTAATCTAAAGAATATAAATCATATTTCGCTAGCTAAAACCCTCTAAAGATTTTAAATTTTTTATACACGAACTAAATTGTTGTTCTCTTAAAATAATCATTTATCGAATTGTTGCCTATGTGTTGGTTTAACTAATTTTGCTTTTTGTGTAGGATACAAGAAAGATTGAGGTGATTGTATTCAACTACTCTCCTATGAAAAATGTGAAGTACAATACAAAAGCATTTAAGAACATGGAGAATTTAAGAATTCTTGAAATTGATGAAGTCCATCTTGATGGAAATTTCAAACATCTATCCAGTTCCAAGGCGCTTAGATGTTTGCGATGGAACCATTGCCCTTTGAAATCTATAGATATTCCATCAGGTGGTTTTTTTGAGAAGCTTGTGAGTCTGGAAATGGGGAATAGCAACATTAAAGAATTTAAAGCCCCTCTAAAGGTAATTCGATAATATTTTATTTTTATCTATAACTCATTGTTATAGCAAAATAGTTAGATAAAGATAATAAATTATAATTTAATATATGTTTTTAATTTCTGTTGTTTTTTGTTTATTGAATTGATCAAAACAGTATATTCCTTGTCTCAAGTCTTTGGATTTCTCTTACTGCAAACATCTCACAAGGACTCCAAACTTTAGTGGCTGTCAAAATCTCAGTAAGTTATCATTTATGGGATGCTCAAGTTTGTTAAAGGTGCATTCTTCCATCGGAGAATTGGGGAAATTAGTTTCTTTAAATTTTGATCTTTGTGAAAAGTTAAAGAAACTTCCAAAGAACGTCAGCCATTTGCGGTCACTGCAAGATCTTTATATGTCCGGTTCGTTAGAACTTAAAACATCCCCGGAAATTTTTGGAAATTTAACCTCATTACAAAGTCTATGTCTTGGACTTACCAGTACTTATGGGGTGCTCTCCAACCTGTCTCATTTGTTCAACCTTAAATCAATTCTGTTGAATTTCTGCAAGAACCAAGAAGTACTCCAACAACTTCCTCACACTGTTGAACTGGTCCAATTGTATCATTGTGACAATGTAAAAATGATCCAAGAGCTTCCACTTAACCTTAGAGTTATTTCTTTAGATAGTTGCAAAAGTCTTAAAATGCTTCCGAATCTTCCTCCAAATCTTGAGCATATTACTTTAAATGGCTGTGAAAATCTTGAAATGCTCCCAAAACTCCCTCTCAATCTTAAGACAATTAATTTATCTAGTTGCAAAAACCTTAAAATGCTCACAGAATTTCCTCCCAATCTTTGGAAAATTGTTTTAGGTGGTTGTGAAAAGTTTGAAATGCTTCCAGAACTTCCTCCAAATCTTTCTGAAATTAGGTTAGATGGTTGGAAAAACTTAAAAATGCTCCCAAAACTTCCTCCCAATGTTACTGAAATCTACTTAGATGATTGCCAAAACCTGAAATTGCTCCCAGAACTTCCTCCAAAACTTCAAGATCTTAGTGTTCAAAATTGTGAGTTGATTGAAAAAGTATCAGACTTATCAAATTGTACGGGGTTGTGTCATTTGCATCTCATCAATTGCAAAAAGTTGAAGGAGTTTAAAGGTTGGGAGAATCTTCATTCCATAAGGACAATAGTGTTTGGAGATGTTCCTCATACTGATTTCTCAGAACGCATTAAGGAGGTACATATGTTTTTCCAGCTCTTCAATTTGAGTCATCTATTATATTAATTAATTATTGACAAAATTTTAGTGCTATGTAATTCTTACTATTGTCTCATATGTTTGATTTCCTTTCACAGGTTTTAAAACACTCCATGAATTCCAATGGTCTTCTTGCTTGTAATGAAATTCCTGGTCGGATTAGATGTCAGAAAGAAATATCATTTGAATATCCATCATCCAATTTGAAGAATCATACATTGGAATTTTATGGATTTGTTTTTTTAGTTGTGTTCAATCCGGCTCCACTACTCCCACCACTTTATTGTCATTATGAAATCATAATTGAAAAGCATGATTCCAAAGATTTCCCACAAACATGGTATAATTATCATGGGATCCAATTAGAAGTTGAAGGAATTTCATTTTTACATGTCATTACACTTAATGATCTTTACGATTATGCGTATGGAGGTATAAAAGCCGGAGAAGTCATCAAAGCTACACCTATAACTGAAGTTTATAAAGGATTCTACAGAGATAGGATTAGGTCATTAGGTGAAGCAAGTTTGATGAAGAAAATAAGAGTTGCAAGTGTGGTGAAGAAATTTGAAGTTGAAGCATTGTACAGAGATAAAGATGGCTCCCTACAACTTCTACCCCTCACTAAAGTTTGTTAGAACACTGAAGAAGAAGAAGAATTCCTGGGTGTCATATCAATGAGGTATTAACTCTATTTTTGAACAAATTGGGTTCTGTTAGATGTTCAAGCCATGGTAGGGAATTTGCTTGGTTGGGCTATGTTAATTAGTTTAATAGCTTTATGACTTTGTGTTGTCTAAAGTGGTAGAATAACTTCTCTTTTTTAACAAATTGGATTCTGATATGTTAGATGTTTAAGCCGTGGTAGGGAATTTGCTTGGTTGGACTATGTTCAACCCCAGAATTTAGAAATTTGTACATATATGAAGATTTTATATTTTGATTTCTTGTAAGGTGTTCCAATGTTGCTGTTAACTTTAGCTAATAATGCTCTAATTAGTAGAAATATTAATATTAAGTTATGATAAGTAGTAAAAACAACTCAAAGTGGTTGTGTTTTGCATTGGGCGTATATGAGCAATTAGTGTAAATTCTTATCTTTTTTTTCATACTTTCATGCTACAGGTCTTAACATTGTTCGCAGGGGCTCCCCTTGAGAAGCAAGTTGTAGTAGTTTGTTCGAATTTGGTAGGCATCCTTACACTGCCTTTTAATAAGATGAATCATACAGTTGAAGAAGTTTTTTTTTTTTTTTTCTTTTTTAATGCCTTCGCGTATTGTGGAAATTCATTTCATGATTTTCATCTATTATGTAATCCTTTCAAAATCTATTGTGTTATTCACATTCTCTTCTACTTAAACGGAAAATGTAGGGCGTATTATCTGCTTGCAATATGGCCATTACAGATGGAGGCTTGTGATTCGGAAGCTGGAATTGAGCTTTTGGGATATTATGTGCAACTTGTAAATGTATGTCTGTAGGGCAATCTAGAAATTGAGATAACTAACTCCTGTATAGCAAAACTGATTTCTGGTCTTGTAATGGTGAGATATAGCAATTTTTCAATTAATCTTCTATATTGAGTGATACTCCAAAGCACTTCCGTTGTCTTTGCTTAGCTTGATAGAGGCAGGGCAACATGGGGGGTTTTGGCAGGTTTGCAATGTAAAACAACATGTGATGCCAAGTAATTCCAATGCATACTTCATTTGATTAATGCTTATGCCTTTGTGATTTCTGGGCTAAAGGTATCCAAGTAATCCAATATGGGAATTTGAATGTATCCCTTAGCTATCAGCCTTGCCTTGTATTTTTCAATAGTTCCATCCGCTTTGTGTTTAATCTTGTACACCCAATTGATTGTTCCGAGGGTGGCAAGTCAGTTAGAACCCATGTATTATTGGCCTTCAAGCTAGGCCTCAATTTCTGCTTTCATGACTTTGGTTCCTTAGAACAAGTAATGTTCATAGCAAAAATGTGATAACTAGGCGCTAGCTAGATTATTATAAGACATAATTATATTGCTGTCAAGCTGTGAGGAGAAGTCCTATTACTTAGCTGAACATTCTGACACTCATAATCAGCAAGATATGCAAATACTTTTGTCATGATGAATTAGTGAATAGGTGTTGGTTATTTTTCAAAAATGTTGTTTAGATTAAATTTTTGTATAATTTATTTCATTTAAATATTGTGTAGGAAGATCCAATTTGATAGCTAGGCTCGACAGAGAAATTGTTAAGAAGAATTGAATTCATGATGTTCTAGTACAAAAATCATTCTTCACCAACTTGATCAATCTTCTTTTCGGAGCTATTATTATTCTTATTTTTGTTATAATGAGTAGGTGGATATTATTTTTTAGAAATATTAATTAGATGAAATATTTGGGCCCTACTGTAGGGTTGCATGTAGCGCTATAGTTCGGAAAATTCAGAAAAACCATCTCATCATCTTCTACATTGTTTTTTGCTTACACAACTATAGAGATTGTTGTGTTAATTTTAGAGGGTAGCACTTATAAACAAATTCCATCAAGTTAATGCTAATTAAATTAAAAATTAAAAATAAATATTATTTTAGAATTAACTAAAAAATAATTCAAATAAAATAAGCAAAGGAGAACATTGTACATTAATATTGTCTAATAACTTTTGTCAAGTTTCTTATGTTGTTTTAGTATTTCTTGTGTAGTGCTTTAAAAAAAATGTACATGAAAATTTTCAAATTGAATTAGGTGTGAGGAATAAGGAGCATAAATATGTTTCTGGCAATATGTTATTTTACTAACTGTTTTTTTCTTTATAATTCATTTACTTTAATTTGTAGTATACATAGCTAGGGTAAAATGAGAGAATTGAATTTGCAAAATGTACTTTGTTAATACTAAATTTTATTTTTGATCAATAAAATACACAATACAAGTGCATTAAATATTTTCTTTTCAAAGGTTGACACACAAGTTATGGGTCTATAGTTGAGCCTCTATATATACATCAAATTATCAATATAATGTCCAAAATTGTGTTGTCTGTCTCTCTTATTTTTCACGTCATTTTTCTTTATATTTTTCTTTCCTCTATTTTTTTTTTTTTTAAGTTAATCATCCATTACAGAATTTGTAAGACACTTGGCTTACCATCAATAATTTCCTTCCCAACAAATTTATCAATTGGGGATGAAAATGTGGGACTATTATAATATCATATACTACAAGATTTCTATCAGAGCTAACTAATATATATATATATATATATATATATATATATATATATATATATATATATATATATATATGTATATATATTCTGGTAACTTTTTTTTTTTGGTTCCAATGTTCAAGATGAAAAGTAGGAATGGGCAAGAATAATGCGTCTAATATTTTATTATTTTATTAAAAAATGAATTTTGATACTGGAATTGGAACAAGTAGATAATTAAATAAACGTAATAATTAATTTTAATTAGAGTATGGTTGAGAGAAAGGGTTTCATTATCTTTAATCAAACAATAAGGAATTGATCGGTATTGTGTGTTCCTAATGCACAGCAGAATGAAATTCCTTCATTGTGTTCCTTAGCTTTCCTCTTTCCCTTTGTCATTCATCTCTAGACTTCACTTAGCTGAGTCTTCCACTCAATCTTTACGAGATTTTCCTCCTCATTTTCAATTGTTGTCTTTTCTGTTTAGAATTTTGTTTTTTATAATAAATCTTCCGTGAATATTACCGATTCCCTTTTTCTGCCATATTTGTTGTGATTATTCTTGTTGTAAAAATATAACGATTATAATGAAATGTTGATACAAGTTATTTAGTTTAGCGTTTATGTATATTTACTTTTGTAGTTTTGTTTTTATGAATATTTTGAAGAGAATATTTATTACAGTGTTGGGTTTATGAACATATTGAATGTGACTATAGTTTATGAACATTGATCTTTGACTTTATGATCATTTTGTCCTCATTAATTTTTCTTAATTATTATTATTATTATTATTATTATTATTATTATTGTTGTTGTTGTTGTTGTTGTGTAGGGGTATATTGGTTTATAATCATTATTCCTCACTAATTTTTCTTAATTATTATTATAGTTGTTGTTGTTGTGTAGAGGTATATTGGTTTATAATCATTATTCCATACAATCTCAAACCTAACTACACAACGGAATCAATATTTTCAGTAATTTATTTTTCATAAATTTCAATTCCATTTCACCTCAAATATTTTATGGGAACCAAAAGTGCCGAATCATTTTTTCTATTCATAATGTTATCATTACTATCATCTGATCATAAAATTACAGTTATCAAATAAAATAAAATGTGCATACAGCAACTTTCCCATTTTTGGGTGTAAAGACAATGGCAGAGTGAAGCTAAGTGTAGTGCTTCATTTAAGATAAAAATAAGACAAAATTATGGTCCTGCCATAAAAAAGAATTTGATTATCATATTTTTCACAGAAAATTCATGCACAAACTGTTATGTACTTATGTAGTTATGTACAGGAGAAACTATTTGTAGATGCCCTTTCAGTAAAATTCCACAGCCATAAAACTGCAAGAGCCACATGGCTAATGGTATATCTTTGCTCACCACGCTTAAACATTAAGTATTCAGATTCAATGATAAAGTCAAAGAACACTGCACACACTGCCCATCATAAATCTGCATCAATTTGGAATCCAGAACATCACTGCCAGAAGTAACAGCTATTACCATTTATTCCAATCTGCTGCATTTACATTGATGAACATAGGCTGTGGTCAGGAGACCGGAACTGGTTTCAGACTTGAGTGCTCGTAAGACATCTCCACTGTCCCACGCAAGGTCCCTTGTTTAACAGAGTTAGCAAGCCCGCATTGTTGCCAGACAACCCAAACATTTGCCTACACAACAACATTGGTTACAAAGGCAGGACTCAGGAGCACAAAGGATTGTAACAATGCACTTTGATTAGTGTTGCAAAAATCGCGCCTAGGCGCTAGGCGGTTGGCCTCCTAGGCGCTCTAGGTGCCCACCTAGGTGTTCTAGGCACTCTAGGCGCCCTAGGCAGTCCCCAGGCGCCTAGCGATTTTTTCAACATTGACTTTGATATGAGAAAAATAATGATTCACTTGCCATGTCCAAAACCCCATGTTACATGAGTATTTTTTTCATGTCAAAGAGATGTAGAGATGTACTCACTTGCATCTACTTGTTTTCCTTCTCCATGTGACTAAGGACTCGGCCCACTGGACATAATAAATTAAAGAAACAATCAGCTGAGATGTAAGGGTATATCGGACCAGATGCCAGATAACAAAAAGCAAGACAAGCGAAAAGAGCCTTATTTCACATGTCAATTCCACACAAGTCTTGTATTATCCTATGTCCTTGACAATTGACATGAAGCTCCATCAAAGGATGGGAGCAGAGGCAATGGTGGGAATCTTCACAAAGCAATAATCCTAAAATTAATTAAGGCCCATAACTAGCAATGCTGATTTCTTTCATAAGAGGGCAGAGTTTCTTGTTAGTCAGAACTCAATCTTTTAACAGGATCTAATAGTCCTACTTTTTCATCAATTTATCCCCTTTTAATGCTTAAAATGAAACGGGGACATCTAGAATCAATGAACAAGTACCACAAAAAACTCTGCATCATGAAAATGTAAAAATGGATATAACAAATACATTTTATGGCATATCTATTATAACTACATTACCGTGGACATTGACGTAAATGAAGTGGGCCCAGCAGCATATGGCTTCCTCAAACGTGTTTCCATTGCTGGTGTCATGTCTTTGCACAACTGCTGGGCAATCTCCTTCAGCAATACCAGCTGTGCTTTATCAGTCCGCATTGATACAATTTCCTGTCTCATTGACTCCCTATCGGCCTCAAGTGCTTGAAGTCTCATAAAAAGCTTCTTGACATCAGGATCTTCCATATTTGTATAATTTGATGATTCCGTTGGGGATGTAACGAAATCAACACCCACTCCAATAGTTGCCTTGGCATTTGCAGCATCATTGTGCGATACACTTTGATGAATGGAGTCAATCGTGTAAACTCTGTCACTCGTGTCATCTTCAACATCTGATGCATTATCCGCTTTCCTCACATTTGAAAACTCATACACCTGTGGAAGTTCTGTCCTCCTAGAACTTCCACCAAATTTTGGAGACTCTGTTATGATATTAGAATCCATTTCATTATTTGTAGGGAAGAAGGTACCTGAACTATCTGTTGGCGACTCACTCATATGAGGAGATTGATCAACTATCACTTTTTCAAGGACATTGTTCTTATACGATTCTCCATCGGGTTGACTGAACCTAGGACTCCTCTCCAACTGGTTGATCCTACACTCCAAGTCTTGCAAATGATCCTGTGAATGTGGTGTCTCCCCAAATGCATATTTCTCAACATCCACAATCTCATTTTCAACCTCAGAGCAAACTTGATTCTCATTCAAGCATTTGAGCGGGGGATAGTCGCATAAAGGAAGTTCAAATTGTTCATCCGAAATCTCAGCCATGCTATTATTCTCACTCAAATGACCCCTTTTTTCACCCTCTCCATCAGCTTCAGATTCTGTGAACCCATAACTCAGCATTCTGTGTTTGTACATTTGCACCTCACACGTCAAAGATTGCATTGTTTGCTCCCTCTTAAACACCAAGTCCTCCAAGGCCTCCATCTCCTGTTGGTCATGTGCTGCTCTTTCCTCTGTAAATCTTTTAAATTGCGTAAATTCCATCTGAATCTCTGCTTTTTCGCTTTGCAACCTCAGGATCATTGACATTGCCTCATCAGCCGCTGTTGAGGAGGCATTTCTCTCCTTATCCAACTCAATACGTAAATCCAGGATCATCTGCTGCTGGTTGCTGACCATTTCACGAAGGGCAGCACATTCATTTTCAATATCAATACGTGCCGTCTGAGGTAAGATTAATCCTGGAATAGTAAAAGCAGTGCCATCGAATTCTTGGTACTTGCGTTTCATGTTGCGGGACCAAGTACCAGAAAAGGATTCATTCATCATGGAACAGCTGCAACCACAATCACAGCATTTGGCCAGCCTCTCTGACATTGGGGACGCACTTTCGAAATCCATAGATCAATGCACATTCACCAAACCCTAAATCCACAATTAATCTAACACCAAAGAAAATAGTATTTTTTTTTTATTTTTAAAATCAACCTAATAAATTCCTGTACAACATAGCTCCAATCCCTTCCTCTTCAATTGTAAACCAATACATATCCCTCACCTAATTCGCCAAATCTCCCTATCCTCAATCACAATATACACACAGAATAAAATTCCTGCAAAATGCCATCAAAACCTATGAATTCATACCCAAATCAATGCTAAATTCCACAGGCAGCCAATTCATCATACAATATAAAACAATATAACAATGTTCGTATACTATACCTGGAGGACGATGAGCAGGGAGCTAAGAAATGGAGGCGGTGAAATTTTCCCGGAAAACAAAAACGTGGACCAAATTTTCTCCGGGGAACCGGAAATTTCAGAAAAGCGAGGGAAAACAGAGAGGGAAGGGTGGAGAAAGGGAATTAAAAAAGAAGCTTGTGCTGAGAAAAGATATGTGAATAATATGATCTTCAAACCCTAGATTTTGTTTAATTGCTTAGTTTTTCGTGAATTAATGGCGGATTTTTTTTGTTTATTTATTTATTTTTTTAATTATTATTTTCCTTCTCTGGCTGGCTGCTGTACAACATGGTCAAAGGATGAGCGGTTTTGGTTTGAAACCGGAGATTTTTCGGAAGTATATACGGACTGTAATTTTGGCATCTGGCAGTGCAGTGGTTTTGGAATCTTCCCCGAACATTTCGCTTATAATTTTCCCGCAAATTTTACACTTTGGCATAATAATTTCGATCCATTTCAAACTTATATGTTACCATAAATTTTTTTATAAATTCACATAAACAACTCGATTTTTAACTTTTAATTAGTTAAATTTTATCTAAACTAGTATTTGTCCCGTGCGATGCACGGTATAAAATTTAAGTATCTTTTATCTAGAAATTGTTCACACTCCACATAAAACATCATATAATATGTCTATATATTTTGTGCTCTGTATTTTGTATGGTAAATGTTTTTTTCTTTTCTGGCTGAATACATTTTAGATTTTTTCTTGAAAATTAATTTAAAATATTATATAAATACATACTGTTCATTATTAATAATATAAACTATATTATTATGGAGTAAGATTGAAATGATGGTAGACTAAGCACCTGAATTAGTGATATGGCCTTCCTCTTGCTTTTTATGATTGTGGATTCTTTTAGTGCAACACAGCTCTCTGAAGTGCAATCTTTGAAGGTGAAAGTGTATTCATCCTCTTCTTGGACGCTTACCCAACATGCCCAATACAGCTTCACCATGTTGCCCTGCAAAGCTTCTTTGAAAGCTCAACAAACGACAGACAGGTACTGCTGTCCTGCACAGCTTAGTTCGCCACACCATTTCAGCCTTTTTTTACTTAATCGTGAAGATGTATTTATAGTGCTGTATGTTTGTAGAATATAATCATATGTATATGCAAATTAATTTTAAAATTAATGTTTAGTCTTGAAGATTGCAATAATTGTCTTCCATTTAAATTTATTTTGCATTCTCAATGTTATTGAATGTCTTAAATGTGATATTAAAGAACAATTCTGATATGCAAGCAACTTTTCATATGTCAAGACATTAAAATTAAATGTGATTAATAATTCGAATTTCCTAAGACATTTAAAACTCATTGTGATTAATAATTCAGGTTATACCATGGAACGATGTCGTTTGATTTAGGCGGGATTGCGGGAAAATGACATGGCAAAAATATTTTGCTATTATATAGAGTAAGATAAGATGACTAGGCATTTTATACCCGTAAAAATTCATGCTATTACCGGGTGGCTGATTGCATAATTTATCATGTATATTTAATTATTTATAATTACTTTGAAAACAAAATCACGTGAGTTTATGATTAATCTGTAATCATTAAGTTAAAGAAAAAAAACTAATATTAAAATATGATAACAAATAATAATAATAATTTAGTTCAAATTATATTTACACTACTTTAAACGAATTATACTTATATACTTAAAAAAATATTTTAAAACGAACTAATTTATAATTTTATTTAATAATGTAAATAATTTTTATTAAAATTTATATTTACAAACAAATAAAAACAAAAATAAATTACCAGGACTATGTGGTCCAATGGTATCCGGGTTGGACTTTTATTTAGAAGGTTGTGAGTTCGAGCCTCAGTGGAGGCATTATTAGCTCTTTGTGTTTCAGTAGGTTGAGAAAGTATATGAACAGATACTACAATGTAATAGAGCTAGTATCATTCAACAAAAAAACAAAAATAAATTATTTATAATACTAAACTATCACCTATAAATTATTTATAAGCCAATGCTATGTAATGACTTCTCCCATATGGAAGGTTATGAGATCGAACCTTAGTGGAGGCGTTGTTGACTCTTTGTGTTTTAATAGGTTGAGAAAGTATGTTTGAATAGATACTATGTTGGATGTCTCGTTGGTATAACCCAATAATAATCCTACAAAATAAGGATTATTATTTTATGTATAAAAAAGGGAATGAAAGATGAAGAGATTGACTCGTGTTTGGTGTTGGGTTTTTAACAAGAATCAAGCGATCACTCTTTCCTTAAAACCTTATTTGCTACCTCCCACAAGTGCTAGGAGCGTTGTAGCCTAGGCTTCCCGGGATAAAACTTGCTACGATTCAATGTTTGAGCACCCAAACAAGAACAAGGAATCCGACGAAGTAGAGGAATGTGATGAACACAATTTCGGCTAAGAAGAGAGTAGAAGTAGAGAGTTTTGAGGCTGAAAATATACTTTCTTGTTGTGTGTAAATCTGCTACTGCCCAACTCCTTCTTATATAGGGATTGAGGAGTGAATAGCCTTTATTATGGCACTTAAGGGCACCCATACACCTTCATGTAACAGCAACCGTTAACATATGTTTTAATTCAAAAAATTAAAATTGAAATTAATTAAAAATTAACTCTAGTAACGGCGGCATGTTGGAAAACTTGAGATTAGGCTTGAGCCAACCCACCTCCCCTGCGCGCGAGAAAGAGCCTATATACTATACAATTCAATAAGTTTAAAAAAGAGCTCTTGTATAAATAGTGGGGCAAATCCTCTTTCCAAACCAATGTAGACAAAAACTCATTTTTACCTTCATTTTTCCAACTCAATGGGTCTACTTTGAGAATCAATATCTCATTCACTCATTATTCGTTTTGAGCGTGCAATATATCAATCTCGTCGTCTCACTACGAAGAACCCGAATCTACTTTGATCGACCCAAATCAGAAGTCGACCCCACTAATAATTATACCACAAAATAGCAACTTAACATGCCATTTTATGTCATTTTAAACTTTTTTTTTAAGATACTACACTGTAATAGAGTCAGTAGGATTAAAAAAAAAAAAAAAAAAAAAAACTAGCGCCTATATATTAGTATATATATACACATGCTTTAACACTCGGGTATTTTATCAAAATATCATATACAATTAACGTAATTATTATGTGAAGATTTTAATAAAATGGTAATTAAATAATATACAAAATATATGGTAGATGTAAGTGTGGGGTAGTAATGAATAATGGTAGAGTCATCAATGATGAAATTTATTAAATTGTAACAAAATTATAATAGTGTTAAGGATATTTTTGTGTAATAAAAGTTCAATAAGGCTAATTTTGTTTAATAAAATGAAGTGTATAACATTTAAAGTATAATTTATACATTTATTAGCATACAACATGAACAAAAATCATGAATTTAATATTGATGGATAGATATAATGTGTTTAGATTATAGATTATACACTTAGTGAGTTACTGGTAGCTCAATTGGTTACTTGGTAATAAATTATGGGCAATGACACATAAACGAACAGTTCTTGAGCCTAATTTCACTCAATACGGTGACTCTTTCGTTATCTTGTCGGGGTCGAATTATTAGACTATTTTTTAATTGCATATTTAAATTTGTTTTTAAAATTAAATTTGCGAGTATTTACTTGTCATTGAGATAGTATAACTGTATAACCCGTCAAATGAGTGTTAGTGACGATCACGTCTAGGTCAAAAGCATAATGTTGACTGCGTGTATTAGTGTATATATTGAATTTTCTTTTTGTAAATTAATCATTTTAAGGAGTGTGATTTATAATAAAAGCATTTAAAAATTACAAATAAAAATATCACAATATATATTACACTTAAAATATACGGAGTAATTCCGACAATTTCACGTCCAAAGCATTTGCCGCTGCCCTCTTCCGCGACTTTTCACTCAAACCGACGCTATTGCAGCCCAAACCCTTTCTCCGGTGGCCCCTCTCTCGATCTCGCCGGCTATATTTCTCCGACGGTGGTAGTTCATCTCAGGTAATCCATTAGTAGTCCATTTCAAGTCGTACTCAACTGTATTCGAATTTGCGCTACCATTATCGTCTGATTTTAGTATTGGGGACACGAGTATATGTATTTAACCTCCCATCGGCATTGTTGTAGACGCGCCTGATTGATGATTTCATGTAATATAGATATGATTTGGGCGTTTCTGTAATTTATGCATCCTTATGTACTCGAGGTAGAGGGTTGAGTTCCTGAAATTTGTATCTCCATTCGATTATCAGTGTAATGGATTGTTAGTTTTTGCGGGGTAGCTGTCCAAGCAATGTGATATGTTGCTCGGTATCAATCACATTATTGCTAATTGGATCCATATCAGTATAACTTAGTACAGTATACATGGTTTGCCCCTGTGGTTCTGGTGTGGAACATGGGGAAAAATGGTCAAGTTATGTGAATTCAGTCACTGGATAGTTTCAATCGTATCGGAGTTATCAATTATGATCAGTTCTAGCAATTGTTCTGGGGAATCAACAGCTGCAGGAGTTTATTGAAAAAGAGGCATAAGGCTTGAGTGCTTCCAAGTCCCAAATATATGCCCATGGCCTCTTTCTATGTTGAAGTGTTTTTTATGTTAGTTTTGGGTTTACCATTGCCTTGATGTAGTAAAACCATTTCAAATAGAGGATTTGGTATTATTAATGGTCTTGTAAAGTTAATATTTATCATTTCTTGTTCTCTGAATACCGTTACTGTCTTGTGCATTTCCCTCTTTCACTTGAACTTTTTATTCTTATATATTTGGTGTTTGGCAGATTTCCAATTAATGGCAAAGCCAAAACAGAGACAATCTGCTCATTCACGTTCAAACAAGAATGATGATCCGGATGCTGAGCAAATTGACCAACTAGCTGAAGATGATTGGGTGATAGTCAAGAAGCAGAGAGTCACTATTCTTATTCCTGCTTTACCTGCCTTTGAGCAGCCCATAGCGATTAATAGTGGAGAAAGCCCTCTGCAGGCACAGCCAAGCAAAGCTATGAATACCCCGTCGTCTCCAGTGCCCATAGTGCTTAATTGTGGAGAAAGCCCTCGGCAGGCACAACCGAGAAAAACTATCAATATCCAGCCTTCTATAGTAGAAGAAATGCACACTGAGAAGCATGCAGTTGTTCAATGTGAGAAATCTATATCTTTGGGCCATGAACATACTGTGCAAATTATCAATGTAGCTCCTGCCCCTCCTCAACCCACATTGCATTTCCCGAAGCCGTCAAGATTAAGTATTGGCTCAGAAAATCCACCAGTTTGTAGTTTTAGATCCAGCAAGATAAATGGTCTTTGCAATGTGACAAAAGTGAGCAAGCAAACTATGATTATTGCCAATGGAGGTTCAATGATTAATAAAAGAATGAGGGCATTTAATCTTGAGAGAAGGCTTCAAAGAGCTGGTGGGCTGACCAATTGGCTAGTTTCATTAGGCCTTGGTCATTTCATAAAGATCTTTCAGGGTAAGAATGTCAATAAATTTCAGCTGGCGAATTTGACAATGGAAAAGCTGAAGGACATGGGTTCATTTGCTGTTGGTCCCCGGAGAAAGCTGATACATGCTATTGATTGCCTTTGCCATCCATAATGTTCTAATCATGCATGAGCTCATGAGATAGTTATGACTTCTCCGCATTTGACAAAGTCAGGGAAGCATTCCCTGCGAAAGGTACACTCAATCCTTTAGCTAGGCCTGTCTTCAATACATGTAAATTGTAAATATACCCTGTGAAAGATCCTATATCTGTGATATGTAATTTGAAACTCAGAACTATATTTAGATGAGATACTCAAATTGTAGCAGCAGTACCCATCTTGGCATCTTCCACCAAAGATGGGCACAGCCCTAAAAAATATGGGACATACTAATGCAGGCAGCCTTTAGTGCCAATCTGGTGATATCATAAATCCTATTGGAAGATTGAGAAGTTTTTGTTTAATATTCTATTTTGTTTTCACTTTTTAAAAGAATGGAACATGTTGCTTGGACCTCCATGATGTTCTTCATTACAATCACTTGCATTTGCATCCTATCATTTTTCTTAATGGGAGAATCTACAATCGTGATTATTTGTCAGGTGAAAAAGATGCTGGCTGGCTGCCTCTAAAGATGGTGCTCTTCCCACTCATCCTTGCCTTAAAATAACAATAATAAAATCCATTAAGCCAAAAGCTAAGATGCTTTTTACTCAATCAACTGTTCCCTGCTTATCCTTGCCTTAGAATATGACGTTAGCTTATGCATTGTACTGTATGCTTTGGAGTCTAGAGCATTTATCCACAATGCATATCGATTTTTTATTTATTTATTTATTTAACTTTTTCTGTTCAATGTAGGATGGCAACTGGGCGGGTACAGGGAATAGGGTTCCCGCCCCCGCCCCCGCCCCCAAATTCATCCCCATTCTCCGACCTTACCCCGTTTTCTGGCCCTGTCCCTGCGGAGATTTGTTGGGGATGGGAATTTCCTGCCTATTTTTTACACACATCTTGATGTTTTAATATATTATAAAATAATATATTATTTAAATTATACAATTAATTTACAAATTTATATATATTATAAATATTTAATTAGCCTAACATCTAATTATCTTAAATGCAACTAGTACAAAATACATCAAAACATTTCACAATACTTAAAAGATTCAAAGAATCTTGTTCAAATCTTAAGTTGTTAATCAGAATACCAAATCCCAAAATTCTAAATATGGAAACATAATAACCAAAAGTCCAAATATTAGTAGATTACATATATATATATATATATATATATATATATATATATATATATATATATATATATATATATATATATATATATATATATATATATATATAGACTTGCACTCGGGTGCGAATGGCTTGCCCAGGCGCGAAACAGGAATGGATTCTGTTCGTCCACGTGTCCAGATCTAATGGATGAGAAACACTGATTTTTTAAAAAAATGCGGTGGCATTTTCGTAAATAATTGAACATCGAAGTGCAAGTAAAATGTATTACAAGTGCATGTAAAATGTATTATAGGTGCAAGTAAAAATTTACACTGAGCATCAATACTTAGTTGCACTTATAGTTCTAAGTAGTTGCACCTATAGTTCTAAGTAGTTGCACACATAGGTATAAGTAGTTGCATCTAGGTGTATGAATGTTTGCGAGTGGTTTTCAGGAGTATTATTACCCGCTGAACTCATATCAATGAATGTTAACAAGGCAAGATTACATGCACTTATAGGTGAAAGTAGGTGCACCTATAGTTATAAGTAGTTGCACCTATAGTTATAAATAGTTGCATATATAGTTATAAGCACACCCAGGTGCATGAATGGTTGCGGTAAGTGAATGCTAACAAGGCAAAATTACATGCACTTATAGGTGAAAATATGTGCACTTATAAGAGATTTTACTTGCACTTCGATGTTCAATTATTTACGAAAATGCCACCGCGTTTTTTTTTTTAAGTTATTAGATCTGGACACGTGTCGCGCGCTGATTCGTTCGCATTTCCTTCCTGGGCACTTATTCGCACCTGAGTGCGTCCCTATATATATATATATATATATATATATATATATATATATATATATTTTGGTGAGGATTACATTTTTTGAAAGTCAAAAACTTGGGATTGCATTAATTCAAGGGAGAAACAATGAAAGGAGGTAGAGTATCCCTCTAGACCGTTCGTGCTTTGACCGCACTTACATGTTTAGCTAAGGCATGAGCTACCAAGTTGGTATCTCTGCGTACAAATCTAACAGAACAAGCAGAGAAAGAATTAATTAAAAGTAAACACGATCTAAGACAATACCAAGATACAAATGAAATCCAGAAAACTAGAGACGAGAACCGCACAATCCGAATAAATTTTAGCATTCTGGTAGTTGTGTTCATGTAGCCACGACAGGGCCTCGCGTACCGCCATGGCTTCAGCTGATCATACGGACACAAAAGAGGGCCACTGGCCGCTGCAATGAAGGTGCCTTCCATGCTGCGCACGTAGAAGCTGAAAGTTGGGGAGCGATCCAGGCCATAAAAGCCAGCGACAGTGTAGCAGACAATGGCACAGGCGACGGCAATGCATGGGAGGATTACATATAATTATATAAATATAATATGAAGTATTATATATATATATATATATATATATATATATCGGGAATTTAGGTTTGGGGTCGGGATGGGGTGTGTTCCCCCTCGGGGAAACTCTCTCCATCCATTGGAAAAAATTCTTAGTCCCTACAGCCTTATCCTGTAGGGGTGTGGATTGAATCTTTTCATCATAGATTGAATTATCATCCCTAATTACATAGTTTCATGCCCAGTATATCATGATGACGTGGGAGACATTGTAATGTTGGTATATCCTCTTAAAACCCTCCAGTGCTTCGTATATCATGACGTGGGAGACATTGTAATGTTGGTATATCCTCTAAAAACCCTCCAATGCTCCGTATATCATGACGTGGGAGGTATTGTAATGCTGGTATGTGTTTTTAAAACCCTCTAAAGATGGTGTAGACATTAGCTAATGACGGAAGAAACATCAGCCATGAGGGTGTTGTTTCTTAAATTCTTTAAATTATTTTTTCATTTTTTCATTTTAATATTTTTGTTTAGAGTCCCACATTGATAAAATAATGGAGAATATATGGGTTTATAAAGTCATGGCTAGACTAGTTAATTAGTTGGATTCATTTTTCGCTAATGTGTATTATATTCCAATTTGAGTGGCCCTAGCCCAAGCTGTATTTCAAGTGGAAGGGTTAGCTAGCAAATTATGCTGTATGCTGTGGAACCGTGTCCACCTTGTTCCAGGTACCACTTAAAACGGATCTTATCTAACTCTTCGAAATCTGGCTCCGCCAATATCAACTTGAAGAGCACCATTAGGCCATCCGGAGAATCCTCCAAAATCAATGTCCCCCAATCGTTAAATTGACCAATATTAGCAAGGTAGTCTTCACATCTATTCTCTTTCCTCAATACATGCAAGAGAACAACATCATCAAATCTGGAAGCAATGTACTTACACTCCATAATGAGAGTAATGATATGATTGCAGAACTGATAGTCGTCATTCATCACCTAAGCTACCGCTTCTGAGTACAATTACATGAATTCATAGTTGATAATAACAAAAGTGGGATGAAATTTGCTAAAACAAATTCATTAGTTACAGGAATTTAAAATAATTTACAGCCTCAAAAGAATAAAGGCAGAGGCATTGATTCTGGTGAGTCATAGTCACTATTCATTGCATATGTTGGTAGTATATTAATAATTGGTGTGTTATTAAATGATAAATTAGAGAAGAAAGAAGGAGTGGTCCACAGCAAGAGAAGTGGGTGTCTCTCACTAGCAGCAAAAGCCATTATTGAGTGCATTTGCAAATTGCAGCCACATATTGGGTAATATGGTGTCAACTATTTGAGACTGACAACATGCATTCATTCTAAACACGTAATGTACCCAATTGTAAATATGTACCTTTGTGCGCATGTCTATGATGTCAACCCATCCACCTAGAATTGCCTATGCTTTAATTCCCAACTTGTCTTCATACTACGATTTCAACCATAGTGCAATGGCTTTTTGGGGAACTAACAAAACTTTCATTTCAATTCATCTTCCACAAATGTCATGTCATTCACTTCTCATTATTTCATTTATAATAACAATGTATACACACATATATACATAATAATAATTCAATATAGAGTAAGGAGAGACTAATAAGTCTCTACTGTCTCGCTACTAAGGTATTTATGTCTCCCACTAAATAAGACGGGGGCTTGGATCTGAGAAGAACCCCTAGTTGAGGGAGCAAAATGGTCGGGGATAGTGGTTTGAGAAGTAGAAGGTCGGGGTTGAGGTGAAGCACGGGAGACCCGATTAGAAGTCTCGATTAACCTTGCAGCGCTCAGAGAAAGAGCATGAACCTCGGAGAACTCCTCGATCTCCTGGATTGTGGAATCATATGACGACACGGAGAAAGATTTGACCTCAACGTTGTTGGGTCGTAGTCTTGTGCGGAGACGTTTTGACTATCTAACTCTTACATATCTCCTCATTTGGGGGAGGGGAGACGTTTAGAACGGAAAGCTAACTAAGAATCCTAAGGTCTAAAGAGCGGTAACAAAAGAAAAAAAATGCACTATAGTGAATCCTTACCAGAAGTGATGACTGGGAGCCTAAGATCTCTTCGAGAAAAGTTGCTATTCTTCAGGTAAGCTCGGAAGGCTCTCGAATTACAGTAAAGAAAAAGCGTAAATCACGTTCACCCAATACCCTATTTATAGAGGAGAAGTTGCGGGAAAATTCAAAATTTTTAGCGAATCCCTAGGCGACCAATGACGGCACAACACGTGGCTGGCGAGGGAACATGACTGGTAGTCCACATATCATCCAACGAACCTGCGCCGCACTTGATACTAGTCAGGTAATAAGGTCTCTATCAGTCGTTCCGATCGGATATTATAGCACGAACCCTTTCACGTTATGCCGACGATAATGCATGGGCTAGGGGGCTACTTGATAGGGAATATTCCCCAATCGTTGCACCTGTACATATCACGTACCTGCTCGGTATCCGAGCGGGCCGTTGGGAGGAATTATTCTCGAGCATTTACTGACCTTGGAGCAACCAGACTTGACCCGTCATAAAGGGCCAATGGCTTAGATAGTGGCAATACTTCTCTACCTTTGGGGTCTTCCCGATCACTTTAGGTCGGGGCATGACATCCCGCATTCCGCACTTAGAAAACGGATCATCATTCCCCTTAGTCAAACCCGATTGCAGCAAAAATAAGGGCATCAGGAACCTTAGTACACGTGGAGGAATTAATGAAGCCTCTGACCTGTCCAGTACATGAGCCACACGTGTCGCATATGCCGAGCTTCCGACATGTGTGTTCACTGTTCTCCTATAAATATCACATTAAATGCGAGAGGGAGGGACTTTTGGATTATTATATGCAATTAT